ATCTCATACAGCCCTGTTGTGGGCTTGGGGGAGATGACAAAGGGAAAACAAATTCAAATATTGAATATTATCAATGAGCCAATGGTTTTGGCTAAACGGTGCCAGGACAGGTGGATGAAAGTGAGTAACTCCAGTGCATTCCTGCTGATATTTGTTATTCCTCATTTCTCCGGAATATTGGCTCAAATCTGAATGCTACATCACTGTCCCAGGCCTTATTGCCCAGTAAATGAAACGCTAATACGGTTGGAAAGTCAGAGCCAGGCGCAAACACTAAGAGAATCTCTAATGATCAGGATTATTTCAGGTTCTCCAGGCTAAGACAACTTTAGGCTCAAATGAATTCCTCCCTTTCAAATTTACCTCTACCCCTTCTTCCTTCCCAAAATGAGCAATCCCCATGTTGCAGGTGATTTGCCTGTAATTGGATGCGTATAAAGATATTTTGTCAGTGCCTGAATTGTTGTTTTGTTGCTTTTTCCATTTTCTTGCCTTTTATATGTAGTTGCAAAGATAATATCTTTGGAGTCTTTTGAACCCATTTGGCTATTTTCATTTAATTCCTTCTTGATTGATGGCTGTGTTTAAAGAAAAGCAAATACTTCTCTCTTTGCTCATTTAGTAACCACTGGTATACATTTACTCCATTCAAATAAATTATGAATCTCATGTATAATCCCACAAAAGGCAATGAAATTCAGAGAGGAAAACTGAAATAATATTTTAATTTACCCCCTTTTTGTCTAACGATATTTTCCTAATATCTAACCTAAATCTCCTTTGCTGCAGATTAAGCCCATTACTTCTTGTCCTACCTTCAGTGGACATGGAGAACAATTGATCACTGTCCTCTTTATAACAGCCCTTAACATATTTGAAGACTTATCAGTTCCCCGCTTCAATCTTCTTTTCTCAAGATTAAACATCCCCAGTTTTAACTTTTCCTCATAGGTCAGGTGTTCTAAACCTTTTATCATTTTTGTTACTCTCATCTAGATTGTCTCCAATTTGTCCACAGTTTAAGAAAATGGACACAGCACTCCAGTGGAGGCCTTACCAGTGCTGACTAGAGCAGGACTATTACCTTCCTTGTCTTACATACGACATTCCTTTAATTCACCCCAGAATAATATAACCCTTTTCCACAACTGCATAACATTGTTGGCTCATATTCCATTTCTCATCCACGACAGCCCCCAGATCCTTCTCAGCAATACCACAGTCTAGCCAGTTAGTCCCCATTTTGTAGTTACACATTTGATTTCTCCTTCCTAAGTGTGGTACTTTTCACTTGTCTTTATGGAATTTCTTCTTATTTATTGAAGACCAATTCTCCAATTGTCATGGTCATTTTGTATTCTAATCCTGTTTGCCAAAGTCCTTGCAAACCCTCTTTGCTTGGTGTCACCCACAAATTTTATAAGCATACACTCCCCTCTGTTTGCCAAGTATTTAATGAAAATATTGAATAGTATTGGACCCAGGACGGATTCCTGCAGACCCAACTAGATATGCCCTCCCAGTTTGACAGTAAACCATTATAACTACTCTTTGAGTATGGTCATTCAAGCAGCTGTGCTACCACCTTATAGTCATTTCATCTACTACATTTCCATCATTTGCTTCGTAGAATGTCATGTGCGACTGTTTCAAAAGCATTACTAAAATCAAGATATATCATGTCTACTGCTTCCTCCATCCTCTAGGACAGCAGCCCTGTCAAAGAAGGAAATTAGGTTTGTTTGGGACGAGTTGTTCTTGACAACTCCATGTCGGCTATTACTTATCATTCTGTTACCCTCTAGGTGCTTACAAATTAATAATTTAATTATTTGTTCTGGTATCTTTCCAGGCATCAACGTTAGGCTGACTGATCTATAATTCCCCAGATCCTCTTAGTTTTCCTTTTTTTAAAATAGGTACTATGTTTTGCCCTTCTCCAGTCCTCTGGGACCTCACCGGTCCTCCATGAGTTCTCAAAAATAGTTGCAAATGTTTCAGAGAATGTTTCAGCTACTTCCTTAAATACACGACATGACTTTCATCAGTCCTGTTGAGTTGAATACATCTAACTTATTTAAATATCCTTTAACCTGTTCTTGCCCTATTTGGGCTTGTGTTCCTTCCCCCTTGTTAACATTCTGTTAAGTATCTGATCACAATTCATCTTTTTAATGAACACTGCAGCAAAACAGGCATTAAACACCTTAGCCTTCTTGATGCTATCCATTATTAGCTGTCCATTCCCATAAAATAGTGACACTTCCCTTCATTTTTCTCTTTTTACTAACATATTTATAAAGAACAGGAGTACTTGTGGCACCTTAGAGACTAACAAATCTCTAAGGTGCCACAAGTACTCCTGTTCTTTTTGAGGATACAGACTAACATGGCTGCTACCCTGAAACCTAACATATTTATAGAATCTCTTCTTACTGCTTGTTATGTTCCTTGCTAGGTGTTACTCATTTTATGCCTTAGCCTTTCTGATTGTAGCTCTACATGCTTGCACTATTATTTTGTATTCATTCTTAGAAATGTGTCCATGTTTCCACTTTTTGTAGGATTCCTTTTTGATTTTTAGGTCATTAAGGCGCTCCTGATGGAGCCATATTGGCCTCTTACTATTCTTCCTATCTCTCTTTGCATCGTGATAGTTTGCTGTTGTGCCTTTAATACTGTCCCTTTGAGAAACTGCCAGCTCTCCTGAACTACTTTTTCCCTTTAGATTTTCTTCCCCTGGGACTTTTCCTACCAGTTCTCTTAGTTTGTTAAATTCTGCTTTTTTGAAGTCCATTGTTCTTATTCTGCTGCTTTCACTCCTGCCTTTCACTTTCACCCCAATTGTCTTGCACCTTCAGATTCACAACCAAGTCCTCCCTGCTGTAAATGTAATCCTTTCCAGATATTAGACCTAGGACCAAGCTATGAAGCTTGGCTCTAAAGCCAAACCTCCTCAAAGTTCTGGTTCAGGCCTGTGTCTATATCCTTTACAAGAAATTCCAATGTGTGCTCAGGCTCAGTGTATAGCCAGTGAAACACTTTTGGTTTTAAAAGACATTTTAGGGTTATTGTTGCTCACTAAACTTCTGAAGCTGGTAAACTTCTATTGGGTCTTTTAAAAAAGATTTTATAACCTACAAATACCCAGAAGTTGGTATGTATGTGAGGGAGAAGTTTGGGGGTGGGGGGGCTGGATGGAATAGAAATAAATCCCTCATCCTTGGGGTGTGACTTTATACACCCAATATCAGCCCAGACACATGGCTAATGCAGATTTTGTAAATCCATGAATTTCCTAATGGAAACACAGACTGTTCTTTAAATAAAGCAGCAGCAGAGGATTCAGTTATGATATTTCCTAAGCAAGTTTTATTTTCCCTTTTCAAAAACTCAGCAACTGAGAGAGCTGAGTATTTTGCTTCTTTACGAGAGGGGATTAACTACAGTTACTAATATAAAAAGAAATTCTATTCACAGGGCTGTACAGGCTGTAACGGGCTGCCAACTGGACCAGAGGTAGCTGACTGGGAAATAATTAATGGAGGCTGTAGGAAGGAAGCACTGGATTTGGGCATTTCCCACCCTCCCTAGCCAGTGGATAACTGGGCTGAATCTGACATACCGTAATAGTAAAGGTGCTGGGGAACAGGCCCTTTGAATATATAGCACTAAACATCTATAGCATTTGTGTCATGTGGAATACAAAGTAGAAAGCACTAGTGCTGCACCACAGGGAAGCTCACTCAGATACAGAGGCTCCCAGCATGTGAAGAGCAGAAATGAAATCACGCCCTCAGAGTAATTTATTAGTGTCTGGGGGGAACAATTAGGTGCAGTGTACTTCAGGTATCTCTCACGAGTGCCATCATTTGAAGCTAAATGGCTTGTGGGCGACTCCCACACTACTGGCAAATTGCCTAGTGTTTATCAGGAGAATCCTCCCTCTTTCCACCCCCAAGTGGGTTATGTGTAAACCTGGGAGAGAGACACTGGAGGCTGCCTGGGTTTACTTAACACCGGCAGCTGCTGAGTAGACCATGACTCCTGATGCCAAACAGTAAGTTGAAGACGGTGACTGTCTCTGCAATCACTCTCCGTTTCTTTGCATTCTACAGACTTTGTATGTCACGGAGCATCTCCTTGCATTGTCAGCGTCACTAAGGCTGCATCCTTTTGATTTCAGGGTGACTTTGGCCTTCAGTGATGGTGACACACAAACGGAGAAGGATGTGGTTTTTCTTCTCTGCATGCACATTACCCCAGTTTGTCACTGATGCCCTTCTTTGCTAGGGCCTTGGGTTATGGTTTCAAAAAGAATCAATATGAAACTGAATGGTTCCACATGGTTTTTGACATGAAGCAAACTGAAACATGATGGTTTCAGCTGGATAGCATGTCAAGTTTTGTTTGTACAAACCCAAAATTCAGAGCAAATTTCAGGGAATGAAAGCTTATGGGAAGCAAAAAGAAAGGTCCACACAAATTCCTGTGAACCAACCCTGCCACATTCATTGTCCCTTACATTCATGTCTATGCAGGCTGCAATCAGGAGATAAGGTAGAGTGCCACGCCCCCTTCCCACCACACTGCTCTTCACTCTGCTCTCTTTCATTAGAAATCACCACAAGTAACAAATCTAAGTTGTTGTTGAATCAGTTTGTAACTCTTTGTAAGATCAGGATATGCCCAGTGGGCTTTTATTGTGCATGATCTATGTGCATATTGCCATGCAGCCTTTGTGCACCACACCTCTCCATACACAGTAGATGTTGGATTCAATACCTCATTTTCCAACATAGCGAACATAGAACCAGGATGATAAATTCAGCTCCCTTTACATTGGATCAGGCTCAACCCAACTCTCTATTTCTGGGGATGTATAAATGTTTGTATGCTGCCCCAGCATTTTATGATTTAGTTGTTGTAACCCTTATTTTAAGGTGTGGATGGTTGAAAAGGAAAAGACAGAGAGAAAGATGTCTTGGTCAAACATATACCTGAAGGGTAGTGTTCGTTCACTGGCCAGCTGTCCACCTGAAGTGTGGCATTCCCGCCATTCCTAGTAAAGCGCACCACATGATATTTGCCATCATTCACTGGGGTGCTCTCCTCTTTGATAGAAATATCCACTGTGCCAATATTGAAGACCACGCCAATCTTGCCTTGCTCCTATAATGAAAAGAGCAAGAAACAATAACCGATAAGTTACCATCTGGTATGAGAGTTCTCTAGGTCTGTATATATCTAAATAGTTAGACAATTGATAATATGACAGAAGATGGCACTCAAAAACATGTTGCAAAGTTCCTGGGTTTTGTAGGACCAATAAAACTTGTGGTTGTGTAATGCATATGTCTTTCTGTGCAGCGCTATACATCAGCTCTTAATGCTATTCACCTGAGAATCACGACTAATTTCCTCCCTCAGAACTTCTCCATGGACAATTGAGAGCCAAGGACGGAAAACCAAGGAAACGTATAGAATGTTATTTGGGAAACATCCCTGTTAATTAGGTATCGTTTGCTCAGCCACCACTAAATTGCAACCACTACTGGGCTAGAACACAGCAATTGTTTGACACATGAAAAAGTACATAGCAGGTTTATTCCAGGAGGGAGCTTAGCGTAATTCCCCCAATTAAAAATCAGAAGGGGGAATTTTAGGGAGCAAAACTGTAATTATCTAAATTGGAGTTTGGCCATTACAGTGAGGCTAATGCACACTAAAAAGTGCAATGGGATTTTTAATTACTCCAAGTGGTTAGAGCCTTGATTTTACTTCTCATCCTCAAGAAAACACCTCCAATAGAACACCATCTTCTAGCACCACTCCTGGGCATTGCTCAGCACACACCAAGGGAAGAGCAAAGCCTACTGTATCAGCAACACCATTTCCTGTAGCACTCTGTGAGATGGTGGTGGTGGGTGGTATTTTTTTTATGATTCCCATCCATGAAATGCACTGATTCAACCATACTTAGCTTATGAAATATAAAGAGATCACAACCCAAAATGTACTGTAGGTTAAGGCTGTACATTTACACCTCTACCCCGATATAACACGAATTCAGATATAACGCGGTAAAGCAGTGCTCCAGGGTGGGGGCGGGGTTGCGCACTCCGGCAGATCAAAGCAAGTTCGATATAACGCGGTTTCACCTATAAATGCGGTAAGATTGTTTGGCTCCCGAGAACAGCGTTATATTGGGGTAGAGGTGTATTTATATCTATTTTAGGTACTTCCAGAGTGCCTGTCACTGTAGGATATAAATGTTAATCGCAGTAGATTGAATTATACCTTAAAGCCTAACTGAGAGGAGGCGGCACATGCAGTTTTTGTAGTTTACAGCTGCTATGCTTCAACATTTCCCTTTACCACATGTTCTACCAGGGACTGGATGATACTGTGGGTCATAAATATAATATGGAGACTTGCACAGGTTCAAATCTGGCCCAGCTTGGCAGTGACCTAAGGTCTGTTCTATGGTAAATTCAGTCCAATTGTGAGTTACCCGCATCACAAAGTGGCGTTCCTGTTGGCTGTTTCAGCAGAGAGACCAAGGCTGGAATGGACTGCGGAGAGTGAATTTCCCCTCCCCCCAAGCAGGGCTGAGACACATTAAGAGGTGGGGCTTGACACTACCCACTGACTGTTCTAGGTCTGCTCTCTGGACAAAGAAGGATTCAGCTTTCAGGGCTGTCAATCCAATTACCATCACCACATTCATTTAAGAAACCTTCAGCAGTGGCAGAACCCCTTCCCCTGATCCTCCAGACCTGATCTCAGATTCCTCCCACACCCTAAGTTTCCCCACACTTAACACCTCTCACAGACACTCCCCCCAATTCTCCCCACGCCTCCTACAGACCCTCTCCCCAATCCCTCCTACCTGCCACCCGACATCTAGAGCTGTTCAGGAATTTTTCAACAAAACTTTTTTGCCAGAAGTACCAATTTGTCAAAAATGAAACATATTGGTTCTGACAAAATGTTCTTAGATATTAGGATTGAGAGCAAGACCCAAGATTAGCCAATAACCCAGAAGTTAGGGTGCTCACCAGGGATCAGGGAGAACTGGGTTCAAGTGCCTGCTCTGAATTGGGCAGAACAGGGGCCTTAAATCCAGGTCTTCCACATCCCAGGTAAGTGCCTTAACCACTGGAATATTGGCTATTCTATGGCAGGGGAGGGTCTCGTTCTCATTTTTTGCAAAATATTTCACATGGGAACAAAATCAAATTTTGAAACCTCGAAATATTTCAGGAAGTGGAATTCTTGTTTTCTAACTAGCCCTGCCTACAGCCCCATTCCCCTTGGTCTTATAGGTCTGACACATTCCTCCTGTTTACTTCCACTCCTAATATTTTTTGTTTTACAGCAGTGGGCTGCCAGTTATATAAAAATCCTAAACAATTTCCTTGAAACGCAAGCTAGTCATTAAGGAAACTGGACTGAGGTTTGAGTATTAACATTTAGTGTTGTGACTGATAAAATGTCGTTATTATCACTTTCTCCCCAAAAGGGCAAGCTCTCCTACATATGTACCTACTGATCTCAACAGAATGATCGTGCATGCATGAAGACTGGATGCTTATAGATTTACCTCCTGGAAGGATCCCTCTTATCTGCTTTCCCCAAAGGACTGGATGGATGGGCTGCCACTTCTTCACATACACAGACCAATCTCATGTGATGATAATCAGCACAGGACAGTGTGATATGGCAAAGGAGATGCCCATGGAGGACAACTTTAAGGAAAGCTGGACCTTGAGAATGAATGAAGTAGCTGAGTTTAAAGACTTCCTCCCCTTGCTCCCCAATTAAAGCTGGAAACTTTCATTCCTTCGAGGGAGACAGAATTATTTCATCTCCAGTCCATTTCAATTCTCATTGGTGGTCACAGCAGCCATTTTCTTGATGAATAAGATTATCTGTTTGCTAGTGAATGACTGACCAATGGGTAAGAATCAATATGATGCTGCCAAATCATTTATTTGCCCCTTTCTCTGGTAATTAGCATCCACTTGGAAACAGAGTGGTTACTTGCTCTGAGATAATGATGTTCAAAGAGCAAGTATTGACCAGATAATCAACCCCCTGGTGACTGGTCCCATCTGAATGATTTTGCAGAGTGCTGCTTATAGAATTCATATCCTTTTGTGTGCAGGGGAAGAGGGGATCTTACAGTAACGTCTTGTATTTCTCCTCTGTCCTCCTCAAAGAATCAAACTTCTCTCTGAGTCTAGAAAGACTGGTGATAGCTCTCCACTCAATCTACTTTGGAAGAGGGGGTTGCTTTAAAATGAAATGAGTTCTCTCTCCCAACCTCCAGAATAAGTACAGTCCTTCTCACTGTATCTTGATGCTTTTGTTTCTGGCCCATGTTGGAACCCAGGAGGTCAGAACTATATAATAATGGGCCAATTCAGGAGGCCCTTCCTCAGGTCTATTCAGTCCGTACTCAAAATTCCCAGTGACTCTTCAACAAGAGTTTTATTTGAGGGAACTTTGCCTAAACATTGAGGGCCAGATTTTCTCATCCTTATTCACGCAGAGTAGTGCCTTACTGCTTACGTAGTTTCACTCAAATTTACGGGACTAGTCACAGTGTAAGGTACCATCCACAAGAGTAAGGGTATCAAACCCATCTCTGAATACAGACCTCAGGATTTGGCCTGTTAATAATACTTTACAGGTACATTACTCTTTTTTATCCAATGAATTTAAAGCACTTAGCAAAAAAGTGAGTGAGCATTAGTTTTCCCATATTACAGATGGAAACAAACAGGGACCCTGAGAGATTAAGTGATATATTCAGGCTACGTCTACACTACAAACCACTGGCAGCAGCGTGTAGTGTATGGGTAGCTACATGCCGCAATGAAAAGCAGGCTGCATCCACACTATGGTGTGTAGCTATATACGTCAGTAAAAGGCTCTGGCAGAGGGAAGGCAGCTGGGAAAAGCTCCAGCAGTGGGGAGGCAACGGGACACTGCACTGCTAACAAATAACAGGGTAGATGGGAAGGCATAGCTTGGGGGAGTAGAGAGCCACGTAGAATATGTACTCAGATACATAGCCGCACTCTTCATGCATGTTTTTACTCACCTAAGCCATCCTTCACAGTCTACACTGCTATTTATACCCATGCTAGGGGGGTTATGCATATATATATATATATACACACACACGGCATGCCACCAATAAAAGTGTGCAGTGTAGACCTATCCTTAGAGTGTTAAAGCCAGGACTGGAACAGTTCATTCCCATTACCAAACAGATTCTTCTAGACTACCATGCCTCGTTACAAGGCATGAGAGACTGAGCAAGTTACCCAAGGTCAGTCTGTGGCAGAGCTGGAAAGAGATCTGAGCTCTCCAGAGTCTCAGTCCAACTATTTTATAAAATTGTCCAACTCCTTGGCTTTGAAAGACAGGCTCTACCACTAAAATGAACACCCACTTCATGATCTTAATCCACTTGGGTTCAGTCTCCTTCGCTTTTCCCATACATTTAGTTATTAGATTCCCCCACCCCCCATAAATTGCCAAATTCTGAGATTAAACAGGCCAGCAATACTCTGACTGCCAAGGACTGATTTATCTCAGTGCCAATATTTCTAACATTTGTTTTGTCTTGAACAAAAAAACCCCACAAAACAAAAGGAAAGCTGAATACACAGCAGCATTGAGCACACACAAAGCACATATTCTCAGAGGGCCTATGAGCATTTAATAGGTAGCCTACATCTTTCTTCTCTCTACATCAATGTTCACCTGGGTGTCCCAGGCAGGTGAGAATCCATCTATTGATTTACCTATGTCATTTTCTTTGAAAATTTTGAGTGAATGTAAAGAGTTGGCAACACCACAAGGAAAACTTTGAGACACTTTTATTTGAAAATAATGTGATGATACAGTATCCAATCTGTATTTCTCTGGCTTTCCATCTTTATTTCTAAGGCTGCTGTATCAGAGAAGATTCTTAAAGTAGTTCCTCTTAGAATTCATCTCCTCCTATTGCACTGTCCCCTAAAATTTCCCCCCTAGCAAGTTGTGTTACCCTCTCTTCAGAATCATAGCTCTCCTGAACACCAACTTCTGCCGTGAAGTCTATAAGAAATCAGGCACACAATTATGGCTCAGAAAAGGGGCAGTTGTGGATAAAT